TGTACTGTACTTTAATCACTTTATTTTAATGTTTTAGTATGAACATTCTGGAAGTTAAATCTTTTTTTCTCACTAATGATTCTAGAAGAATAATTTTTGGGATAGAATTGCAGGGAAAGAGAATAGGCACAGTTTCAGTGTTTGTATTACTGCCAAATTGTGCTCCAGAAAGGTGTGCCAATTTGCAGCCCCAGCAGCCAAGCGTGGGAATGTTTACCCTGGATCCTGCTTAGCACCAAATAACAAAATTTTACAATTGTTTGATGATATATAGGTGGAAAATATCACAGCATCTTGTTTGAGATGTGTATTTATCTGATTGCTAGAAAGGTTAAACGTATAAACATGTTTATCACTTGAACCCTTTTTTGTGTAACTTTTTGTTTATATCCTTTGACCGCTGTTGATTGCCTTCTTTTAATTCTGTCATGCTGCACAGGCTTTCCCCAGTTTTTAATCAAATTGAAGCTTTTTTCTTCTGAACACATAGAATCCTTTGATTCTTATGTAGTCAAACCTGTTGAACATTTCTGGATTTTACTTTTGCTTGGATTCCTGGAAAAGTGGCTGTACTTAACTTGAGATGAAATTACATGTGTGTTTTCCTTTTCTTGTTCTGGTTCATTTATTATAATTAACTCTGGAATCCATCTGGAACGTATTTTTGGATTTGGTTTGCCATGCAGTAATCTGACTTTATTTTTTTTCCAAACAGATGTGTCACATTATTTATTGAAAAATGTAATGAGGTGTTCTTTAAAAAGATTGCAAGAAGGTAATATTTATATTTCAAAAATAATATATACTGATTGTAAAATAAATTAAGACAAAATGAAGCCTCTAAGTAAACAAGTGGTACATACATGAGAAGCAGTAAACAGGGCTGTGGGTCATCGGGACCTGGATTTGTAACTTGGTTGCTGTATTGCCCTGAACAAGTTTCCTGGCTTCAGTGATCCACCACTGCTTCATCGGTAAGGTGGAAATCACAGTACCTACTCCCATGTGGTTGATGAAGTGAGATAATATGTGTGAAATGTGTTATCTAGAGTCCTGTGTCTAGCATATTGTGAATATAAATCAGTAGCAATTTTGAAAAAGCCCCCCTCCTCCCCATCTTCCAAGGGTGTGCAGTGCGTTGTAGCTGTGGACTTTCTGTATGAGTTAGGGGGGATTGCTGTTTGTCTTCCTTAGCTTTCTGCAATTACATTGATTCAGCTGCCATCAATCTGAATCTCCATTACCATCAATTCTTCCTTAGACCAATGGTTTTGGAGTTAGGATTGTGTGCTGTGCATTCAAATCACCTGGGAACTCTGTCAAACTGTTGGAGTCTTGGCCTCACACCTAGGAATTTTGATTTAGTTAATGTAGCATAGGCCTGGGTTTATTTGAAAAATTCTTGAGTTGTGAATCTGAATTTTACACCTGGTAAAACTGACTGGTAAGACAATACCATTTTGATTTGTGGCACATTAGCAAACTGGTGGGAAGGGAAACATACAGGCAATGGTATAATTTTCAAACTGAGGACTTACGCTGGGAGTTGAGACTTCTGGGTTCAGGTTTATTGCCAAGTAAACAGGTAACTTGGAATAATCAATGGCCTCATTTTCCTTGTTAATATCTATATATTGAGCAACGGAAGGAATGATCATCACTTATTGATGAGTTCCTTTTGTATTTTGTGACTTGTCTGCTAGTGGCATTTGTGAAACACCTTGGGATTTAGAAATCTGCTCCTAAGCCCAAAGAATAACTTTTTTTCCCTTTATAGCAGCCTGTAATAAGGGTGGCTCAAACGTTCGTTCTCTGGCTGCATCATAGTCTTCACTCTCGAGTCAGTAGGTCAAGGCACAACCAGTTTTTCACACTTCATTTTGCTTTTTAATTGCTGAGGATATTCTGCTTCCCTTTCTTCATCCAGGTTAAGTTATCCAGTAAGAAACCACTGTGACACAGGGCCTTGATCTCCTGTAACTTGGGAACTGCCTACATGTAGTTCTTACAGCTTATTCTTTATCTACAATTAGCTTCCCTGGGAGGTGCCTTTTTTTTTTTTTTTAACAGAAGAGAGAAATCAGTGATAGTGTGGGAAATGCATTTTAGTGCTTATTAACATACTTCCTGATTTCATGGACTAGGTGCTATCATGCCTTGACAGGCTGTTTATCGTGCCTGTACGTAGTAAGGAAATCGGGAAATGATGCTCTTTTAGGTTGTTAGTACTTAAAAACAAAACAATCCTATGAAATACTGCTTCCAACGACCTCACTGAAATGGTTTCCTGTGCAGAACTCTCTTTACCTAATTGGAAGGGCTCCTGGTGATGGTGGCATCGGCAGCAGCATGCAGACAGCTCTGTAGAACCCGCATCTGGGGTGTCATGGAATTCGGCCACTAGATGGGCCCATTTTGCCCTAAATGAAAAAGAAAATAGTATTACAAGCACAAATATACAGGTGAGTCATAGGCACGCTGGCAAACATACTTTGAGTATGTTGTTCTCTTTAGCAGGTAAATACTTTGAATATAGTGTTGGCTTTGGGTTTTGGAGGAATATTGTGTGTTTCAATTATAATCATTATTCATGGTTACAGTGGAGCCGCAGTGTTATGGAGAATGTAAAAATAATCTACGTGATAGGCGTGTGTGTGCCTGCTCGCACTGTTAATTGAATTAATACAGACATTGGAACGCAATTAAGGCATTAAAAGTTTGAGCCTTAGAGTCAGCTTGCTTTGGTTTGGATTCACATTTCCCCACTTAATATATGGACGACCTATGGCAAATGACTTAGCCTGTGTGCTTTGGTTTCTTCATGTACAGAACAGGAATAACAGTAAACCTGTTTCACAGGATTGTTGTGAGGATTAAGTGAGTGTGTTGAGGAATATGTGGTAATAGGTTTAGCTGGTATACAGCAAGCATTCAATACCTGTTAGCTATTATTCTAATTACTTAAGCTATTAGAGGCCATTGAAGATTTCATTGGGAACATCTGGAAAGCGTCTAGCCTCTCTTTCTCGCCGACTTCTCTCTTCATTCCTTCCATGTGGAAGGCATAATAGCCAGATGGACCAGCAGCTCCCTTATTCCCCCTGTGCCTCCTGTCTTTCTGGGTGAGTGTTTTAGTGTCGTCGTTTAACTTTTTTTCTTTCTTTTAGTGCTCTATTGTAGTCTGATAATTTTCTGCGTGTAAAAAAAATTACAGTTTTATTAAACGACAAGAAAGAAGACCTAAATAGAGACATATCCCAGATCTGCGATGGGAAGTTTCACTATCAGTGTTTTAGTTTTATAAGGAAAAAAGTTGAGTCTGTAGGATGGTTGTTATATCAACAAACTCTTGAAAGCAAGGCCGTGAGTAATGTTCCTGCTGATTATCTCGGCTTGCTGTTGTGATAAGGGATGTGAGCGGAGGAGGGCCCTGGTCCATGGAGGTAAAGGGGAACACCAGCATGTGCACAGTTGTGCTTTGGAACTCTGAGCCTGGACTTCTCAGCCCACTGTTCAGACTCTCGAACGGAGTGATTTACATGACAGCTTTCCAGGGCTACAGCTTGTTTGAGCCCTCTAGTGAGTGGCTAGCAGATGGAGACTTCTACTTTGCTTTTGTCAGCAAAGTGTCTGATTAGAAAAAAGTAAAAGGTAGGATGCTGGCCACAATCTGAATGGTAAATCTCTGTGTACAACTGTTTTACATTTTTTTCCCTCGGGAGAAGACGCTGTTATGACCCCCTTCTAATCGTAGAAGACATGCTTGCTGCCATTCGACCTTTGAGGTGTAGATCTTTGTGTTTCTGACCACCGGAAAAGGGAGATCAGGAGGGAGGCAAAGATGGGAAAAGCGAATTTGAGAGTCATCCGGTCTCAGCTAACCGAAGCTCATTGGGAAGTTCGGGGAGGTGAAGGACGGAAGAGATTTAGGACAAGCCTGTGGGAACAGCTACATTTAGGGAGTGGTGGAAAGGGGTCAGAGAAAGAGAATCAGGAGAGGGCATGGGGGAGGAGTGTAAAATGCAGACTGACTTGATATGAGGTGCACTGCATGGGTGAGAATGGCGGGACACTTTGATATGAGAAATGAAGGTATAAGTGGAGAGAATTTTTATGCTTCTGGATAAGATTATATTAAAATACTTAAGACTTCCCTGCTGAAATGCAATATAATGGGATTCTTTTTATATATTGCTGAAGTCTAACCCTAATATTGTGTTAAGTATTTTTGTGCCTTTGTTCATGAGATTTTTTTTGTAGGTTTTTCTTTGTTTTTGTTTTTTAGACAGGGTCTCGCTCTGTCACCCAGGTGTGATGATAGCTCACTGTAACTTCTACTTCCTGGGTGCAGGTCATCCTCCACCTCAGCCTCTAGAGTAGCTGGGAACATACCTGGCTAATTTAAGTTTGTTTGTTTTTTTGGTAGAGATGGGGTCTTACTATGTTGTCAGGGCTGGTCTCAAGCCATCCTCTCCCCTTAGCCTCCCAGAGTGTTGGGATTACAGGCATGAGCCACTGCACCTGGCTTGTAGTTTTCTCTCTCTCTTTTTTTTTTTTTTTGGTACTGTCTTTGGCTTTAGTGTCATGGTAATGCTAGGTTTATAAAATGAACTGGGAAGTGTTCCCTCCTCTGGAAGAGACAGTGTAGAATAGGTGTGTATTTTTTAAAAAATGTTTAGTAGAATTCTTCAGTGAAACCATGTGGGGCTGGAGATTTCTTTTTTGGAATTCTTTTTTGTTTTTTTCCCCGAGACAGTCTCACTCTGTCACCAGGTTAGAGTGCAGTGGTATGATCTCGGCTCACTGTAACCTCTGATTCCCGGGTTTAAGCTATTCTCCTGCCTCAGCCTCCCAAGTAGCTGGGACTAAAGGCACACACCACCACGCCCTGTGAATTTTTATATTTTTAGTAGAGATTTAGTAGAGGTTTCACCATGTTGGCCAGGATGGTCTTGATATCCTGACCTTGTGATCCTCCCACCTTGGCCTCCCAAAGTGCTGGGATTACAGGCATGAGCCACCGTGCCTGGCCCCTTTTTGGGATTTTTAAGTTTGAAGTCAATTTACTTGATAGTTATAACTGTTGGATGAGTTATGGTATTTTGTATTTATCAAGGAGTTGGTCCATTTCACTGAAGTGTGTAGAGTTATGTAGCTTGCAGGAACTGTAGTAATAGCCCCTGTTTCATTCCTACTATTGGTAATTTGTGTCTTTTCTATTTGTTGTTCTTGCATGTTTGTCAAACTGGTAACAAACCCCTTTGTTTTCTTGCTTTTTCTCTTCTGCTTTTGTTTTCGATTTCATTGATTTCTGCTCTTTAGGTTTGTTTTGTTTTTTTGGGGGGGGTTCTTGAGGAGCATAGGTTATTGATTCGAGACTTCTTCGGTGCAAGAATTCATACATAAATTTTCCTCTTAGCACTGTTTTAGCCATGTTTCCATTTTTTCCCCTTCCATCTATAGTAACTTATTTAATTTGTGCAGTAACCCTGGCGGTAGGTAGAGATTTTTAGCATCACTTTACAAAGGAGGAAATGAGCTCAGAGAGATATATAACATTCCCAAATTCTCCAGGCTGAGCTGCGTCCTGAGCCAGGTAGTCTAGCTGCAGGTCCATATGGCCATCCAGATGCCTCCTGGCTCTGAAGTTCTCTCTCTGTATCTTACCTGAATTCAATACAATGTATTATTTGTTAGTGGATTCATTAACAGATTACCTTGAGAGCCATGGGAAACACTTTTAGTATGAGGTAAGACGACTAGGTCCCAGCGAAGCAGAAAGGGAGGATGAGTCAGGGAAGTAGATGGGACACTAAAAAAACACAGCTTCGTGGAAATGCAGGGGAGAATTGAGAGTTTGTAGGATGAGGAAGTGATCCATGATAATGATTTATTTAACAAATATTTATAGAGTGTGTATAGTGTGCTGGACACTGGGCTGGATGCTCGCCATGCAGCAGTGAGCCAGGCGCACAGGTTTCTTCCCCTCGAGGATTAAGCTTTGGTGGGAAAGGGAGGGAATTCAAAGATATTAGGGAGGAAATCAATGGGTCGGTCCTAGAGAGCATCAGGGTATAAGAAAGGCAACTTTACCTGGGAATGCCAGGAAAAGTTGAGACATGGAGGATGAGAAAGAGTCTGTCAGGCAGAAGCCTGGGGAAGAACATTTCAGACAAAACAGGTATGAAGTTTTGAGAGTGAGAAGCTTGGCACAGTCGAGGAGGTGAGAGGAGGCCTGTTCAGCTGAAGCTGAGAGAGAAAGGGGAAGAGCGATGGAACTGAGAGGAGTCTGGAGGGCCGGGCAGTCAGTGGAGAGGGGAGGCGTGGTCTTACTCACGTTTCTAGGCGGTCCTGGTTGCTGTGTGTGGAGTGCGTTGGGCAGGAACGGAGGCCAGCTGGCAAGTTAAGTGCGAAATGTCATGGCAAGTGACTGAGAATGAGTTAGACATGTACATTGTATTTGGAATAAAAAAATTCCTGAAGATTGCTCCTTAGCATTGTTTGACATTTATTTCTAGAGGTTGATATATTTATTTTCATTTTCTGGAGAATCACAGAAGAGATTCTGAGAGTTTTCTTTTGTGCCTGAAGTTTAGCTGTTCAGGAAGGAATGCTCATGTGATTGGACATGGATGATGCTTTTGCCTGGCTCCCATAAAAGAGATGGGAACTTAGTGGGTATGCATTCTTTGGAATTATTGTTGAGTTATTGGTGTCTGTGAGAACATTTGTTTCTACTCTCAGCTCTGCTTATAGGTAAGTTGATAGCACTAGAAATATTAGACTAAGTATAGTCAGGCTCCAAATGACTTTTTAAAACCCTCTGTTTAGACTCTGTATGTAATGTCTTTTCGAATTTTTGGTATGAAAAATTTCAACCTAGGCAAAAGCAGAGAGCCTAATGTCATAAGCCCCCGTGGGTGCCCATCATTTAGTGTTGGTGGCAGTCAGCTCACGGCTGATCTTGAGTTCCTTTCTACCTCCAAACTCTCCCCGCACTCTCATCCTGTTTATTTTGAAGCAAATTCCAAGTACATCATTTCATCTGTCAACATCTCAGTATATACTTCCAACAAGTAAGAACTTTGCCATACTTTAGTGTTTGGTTTTATTCCCCCTTAAAGCTCATAAACAGGTAACGTCTGTCTGGATGGTTTGCCTGCGAGAGTCCCTGTATATACCTCTTGTCCTGGTGTATTTATTAATAGTCCCCCTTTCCACTTCAAAGAGTCTCTGTTTGGACAGTAAATTCTTCGGTCACCTTATATACATAAGAGAAATCTTTTCAGAGGGGACAGTAAATAAGTTACTTACTAGCACTTTCTTATTTTTCTAATAGTGTGTCACTATTCTGGTTTTTTTTTTTTTTTTTTTTTTTAAATTTAAACAGGAGATCAAGCCCTGGAGGTTCACTCTTTCAAGAAATCATGTGCTGAAGTATAATGCTACACAAGTCAGAGGAAGGAAGGATCCCAAAACACATGGTGAGGAAGGAATGAGTCAGCTGGATTGCCGTGATTATGCCGCCTTTTCTTTTTCTTACATTCTGTTGTTTCTTTGTTATGATTTGGTCATGAGTGCAAAGAATATTCTTTTGAAAGCAACAAGAGATTTAAACATTTGAATCACAAGGATAATGTAAATTTGGATATTTGGGCAGCCGTTAATTATCCAAGTTTCGATTATTCAAATACTTAAACATTTTAGTAATATCGTCATCAACTTTAGGTCTGATGTCTTGTCAGATGTTCTTTCTAATGGATGCAGTGACTCATGCCATCATTTCCCTCCTTTCATTCTTTGCTGTTAGCTGATTGTAATATCCCCTTTTCTTAGAAATTGTTGTTATAATTTATTGATTAAAATTTAATATCAGATGTTACAGTGAAATTTGATCAACTTGAAAAAAATGTTAGATTGTTTCAAGAAATTTTCATTCTGAAAAATAATAAAAATTATGATTATAAATATGGTAAGAAGGAGAGAAGATGATCACACCTTCAACAGTTAAACATCTTTGACAGAGGTAGAAGCTAGAGAGTGACTGTGCCTCTGTGAAGTCCTACTCATTTTATGCTGCCTGTACCCTTGTTTGTTTATATCTTATCTCTTAGGCTAAAGGAAGTTCCATGAGGTCAAGGATTATACACCCTGGATTCTCCCACAGTTACACTTAGCATGTCTTAGCCCTGTTAAGAGTATGGTGAATATTGTTTGGAAGAATGAATAAAGAAACCAGCAATATTCCCTAGCATAGGATATTATGATTTGCTTCTAGCTGTGCTGAATTTGAAGGAAAGCAAGTAGCAATCCACCGTAGCCAGTGGCAGTGAGGCCTAGTGAGAGGGCAGGGCCGGGAGTGTCGTTGGGGGACTGAGTCGCCTCAGTGCCCTCCCACCCACTGCACTGTGTATCACAGCAATGTGGTGCATTGCCGTCTCCGTGTACCTATCTCCATCTGAGAAGATTAGGAAACCAAGGTCTGATAGCAAATCTGTCAGCAGAGAATGAGAACGAATGCCTCTCATTTCTAAGTATAGTGTTCTTTCTAAAAGAGCAAGTTACTATTTATATTTTAAGAAAGAGCACATGATGTCTGCTAATGGAAGATAAATGAGAAGCAAACTGGGAAATACATTTTGTCTCAGGATTACTGCATCTACTACTGGATAAAGATCAAAAGAGTTCTCTTCAACCCCTTTCAACTCTACATTGAACAAATTGAGCTTTTCAGAGTTTTTTTTTTTGTTAAGTATTTCCAAAGAAAACGGGTTAGGAGTAAACATAAGCTACCCAGGTTGGATAGGAAGGTATTTCTCTTCATAGGAAGATGATGTCCAGGTGTGGAATAGGATAAGAAAATGAGACTGTGGACATCTTTGCCCCATGAATTTAGTTGGTCATCATGTTATAGGGCTGTAATGCTGCTCTATATGCAGTTACATAAGAAGTGGGGAGGGGGTGTAAACTGCAGCTTTGGAGGCACTTCGCCTTTTATTTCCCCAAGTAAAATACTCATACCAAACAACAAACAACATCTCTACATTGGCATAATGTTCTTTGCGACACACACCAGTGTTCCAGCCATTGTTCCATCTAAGATTTAAGCATTTTCTAGAAATGTACGATGGTGGGAGTGTTCAGTGTAATCTCATCAAGACTGACGTGGTTCTCTTTCTTTTGCAGGCCCGATTGTTGGCAAAGACATCAGTAAGAAGCTGGCATTTATTTCTGTTCTAACCCATTACTATATAACCAAATAGACACTATGCATATTTGTTGGTCAGCAAAACCAAGACACAAGAGCTATGGCGGTTGAAACAGTCTGTCTGATTCCAGGGTGTTTTTCCTGGGTTTCATCATCAGGTATCTCCTCCCTTTCATCCCAGCAAGAATGTGGCACCTTTTACCTTTTGATAAAGATTAAGGACATGTTCTTTGGTCAACAGCCAGAACTTAAAATCTGCTATAATAGGGTCAGAGACTGTTTCAGCTGCAGCTGAGGAAAATGAAATTTCCATTTTATTTGGTGCCTTGTCCAGGGAACGCAGGCACTCTTCCTGAAACGTGCCAGTGAAACAGAGATCGTTTTGTGGAATAGCAACCCATAGTTATGGCGAGTGACCCGACGTGATCTGGCGGGCAGGCAGCAGAGGACTCATGACGGGCTATACCATGCTGCGGAATGGGGGTGCGGGGAACGGAGGTCAGACCTGCATGCTGCGCTGGTCCAACCGCATCCGCCTCACGTGGCTCAGCTTCACGCTCTTCGTCATCCTGGTGTTCTTCCCACTCATTGCCCACTATTACCTCACCACTCTGGATGAGGCCGACGAGGCTGGCAAGCGGATTTTTGGCCCCCGGGTAGGGAACGAGCTGTGTGAGGTGAAGCACGTGCTGGATCTGTGCCGCATCCGCGAGTCGGTGAGCGAAGAGCTGCTGCAGCTGGAGGCCAAGCGCCAAGAGCTGAACAGTGAGATTGCCAAGCTGAATCTGAAGATCGAAGCCTGTAAGAAGAGCATCGAGAATGCCAAGCAGGACCTGCTGCAGCTGAAGAATGTCATCAGCCAGACCGAGCATTCCTACAAGGAGCTCATGGCCCAGAACCAGCCCAAGCTGTCCCTGCCCATCCGACTGCTCCCGGAGAAAGACGACGCCGGCCTCCCTCCCCCGAAGGCCACCCGGGGCTGCCGACTGCACAACTGCTTCGATTATTCTCGTTGCCCTCTTACCTCTGGCTTCCCAGTCTACGTCTATGACAGTGACCAGTTTGTCTTTGGCAGCTACCTGGATCCCTTGGTCAAGCAGGCTTTTCAGGCGACAGCACGAGCTAACGTGTATGTTACAGAAAACGCAGACATTGCCTGCCTTTACGTGGTCCTAGTGGGAGAGATGCAGGAGCCAGTGGTGCTGCGGCCTGCCGAGCTGGAGAAGCAGTTGTATTCCCTGCCGCACTGGCGGACGGATGGACACAACCATCTCATCATCAATCTGTCGCGTAAGTCAGATACACAGAACCTCCTGTATAATGTCAGTACCGGCCGTGCCATGGTGGCCCAGTCCACCTTCTACGCTGTCCAGTACAGACCTGACTTTGACTTGGTCGTGTCGCCGCTGGTCCATGCCATGTCTGAGCCTAACTTCATGGAAATCCCACCGCAGGTGCCGGTGAAGCGGAAATACCTCTTCACCTTCCAGGGGGAGAAGATTGAGTCTCTGAGGTCTAGCCTTCAGGAGGCCCGCTCCTTCGAAGAGGAAATGGAGGGCGACCCTCCCGCCGACTATGATGACCGCATCATTGCCACCCTGAAGGCAGTGCAGGACAGCAAGCTGGATCAGGTCCTGGTGGAATTCACCTGCAAAAACCAGCCCAAACCCAGCCTGCCGACTGAGTGGGCGCTGTGTGGGGAGCGGGAGGACCGCTTGGAATTGCTGAAGCTCTCCACCTTCGCCCTCATCATCACCCCCGGGGACCCTCGCTTGATTATTTCCTCTGGGTGTGCCACGAGGCTCTTTGAAGCCCTGGAAGTCGGTGCCGTCCCGGTGGTGCTGGGGGAGCAGGTCCAGCTTCCGTACCAGGACATGCTGCAGTGGAACGAGGCGGCCCTGGTGGTGCCCAAGCCTCGCGTTACCGAGGTTCATTTCCTGCTCAGAAGCCTCTCCGACAGTGACCTCCTGGCTATGAGGCGGCAAGGCCGCTTTCTCTGGGAGACTTACTTCTCCACCGCTGACAGTATTTTTAATACCATGCTGGCTATGATTAGGACTCGCATCCAGATCCCAGCTGCTCCCATCCGGGAAGAGGCAGCAGCTGAGATCCCCCACCGTTCAGGCAAGGCGGCTGGAACCGACCCCAACATGGCTGACAACGGGGACCTGGACCTGGGGCCAGTGGAGACGGAGCCGCCCTATGCCTCTCCCAGATACCTCCGCAACTTCACGCTGACTGTCACTGACTTTTACCGCAGCTGGAACTCCGCTCCAGGGCCTTTCCATCTTTTCCCCCACACCCCCTTTGACCCTGTGTTGCCCTCAGAGGCCAAATTCTTGGGCTCAGGGACTGGATTTCGGCCTATTGGCGGCGGAGCTGGGGGTTCTGGCAAGGAGTTTCAGGCTGCCCTTGGAGGCAATGTTCCTAGAGAGCAGTTCACAGTGGTGATGTTGACTTATGAGCGGGAGGAAGTGCTTATGAACTCTTTAGAGAGGCTGAACGGCCTCCCTTACCTGAACAAGGTGGTGGTGGTGTGGAATTCTCCCAAGCTACCATCAGAGGACCTTTTGTGGCCTGACATTGGCGTCCCCATCATGGTAATAGGAAAACGAGCAGTTCGTTTTGCTGCATGAAATAGCATTTCACTTTTAATCCCTTTTCCGTCTTCCTTCACTTTAGCAGTTGTAAGTTCTAGCAGAGAAGAATACACACACACTTTTAAAAAGCCTGTATAGATTCCTTTCTTCCTGAAGTGTTTGCTTGCTGCTCTTTCAAGCCTTGGTAGTTCTGTTGCTGTTACTTCCTAAATCTCAGATCCCCAAAACTGAAACTGATTCTATAGTCAATATATAGACCTCGTGGGTTATCCCATCCGTTATCCCATGGACTTCTTCCATGTCATGACAAGGTGGTAATGACGATAATGATAAGCTACCATTTAGGAAGCACTTAGCATCTTGGCACTAAAATAAGCATTTTATCATTATCACTCTTTCTTCAGCTTATTTGTATGGAGCTGAGACTTAGGTTAATAAATTTGCCCAAGATCGGAGTAATGAAAAAGCTGAATTTAGTATGTCTAATTCCATAAACTGCAGCTTTAGTCACCTCCAAAAGGGTTTAGTGAGGCCTGTGTCTTTTTCCAGGTATTCATAGAAGTCTTTTATAAGACTGGAATTGGGGTTTGGTATTTTGGAGTTGGAGAACCAACTCCAGTTGAACGTTCTAGGGTGTCTTGTAGGTTGTTATTCTTTACTCCATCTCATGGTTAGTGCTGTATTTTACAGAAAAAAATAACAGCTAAATATGCAGGATGTAATCCACCTGCAGAATTAAACTTAGATTCTAGAAGAGAGATGGTAACCATCTTAAATGTGTAGCCTTAGAGCAAGTCTTAAGCAGACTGCCAAATATTTACCCTGCAACCTATATAGTTACTTTCCGGCAAAAGGTAGCAAAAGGTCTGATGGGCCATACATTGCTAGAAGTCTAGTTTTTTTTAAAAAGTGTATTTCATTGGGAAGCTGATACATTTGAATTATTTTTTAGGCAGCGGCATGGTGTAATAAGAATGAGATTTGGAGTGATACAGACCTAGGACTAAGTAGTCATTTTGTGATCTTTGATAATTTAGCTTTTTTGATCTCAGCATTAAAGGGGAATCTAAGATAAGATAACTAAGGACTCTAGAAAGGTGTTCACTTACTTGATTCCCTCTTACCCCTTAATGTTAAAGGAGATGGAAGCAGTATGACTGTCCTGCCTATGTTGTGGGCAGCTTTAACTGACCTCACTCATAAAGGCTTCTTGTATCCTCTACATCATTTCTGTTTGTGTCATTCGTTACTGCCTACTTCCTCCTATGCAAAGTACGTCTTTGCTTTAAATTTTTTGTTAGTGCTGCTAATCTTGTCTTTTTTTTTTTTTAATTTAATTTAATTTTATAATCAGGCTATTCAAAGACCATAGGGTTATAAATCCTTTTTATCCCAGTTTATTTTGAATATTAAGTAAATAGGGAATTTTTTTATAGACTTCTCAAAGTTCACTTTGTTAACAGCTTTATGAATGTTATTGAAATTAAAAAAGCATTTACTCTGCGAAAGGTATATGCTCCTGAAATAGTAGAATATAGAGCAGCCATTGTTTTCCAATTTTCCTGAGTTTTCTTTGATTTCGATAGGGATGTAGATCAGTTGGTGTCACCACAGTTAAGTTGACTGAAATTCATCAGAGAACTTACCAGAATGAATCCTTTGTTAAAACTCTGGTGAGAAATAAGTACTCCTGGTAATTAGGCAGTCCATTGCAATAATACCTAATTGGAAAATGCCAGAAACTTTCCAAATTGGCCACTCTAAACAGCTTTCTCATATTAGCAAAACAAGTTATTTTCTGGTCCTTTTAAAAAACAGGAAATAGCTGCAAGCTGGAGAATTTCACTCCATCTTGTAAATATTCTGGTTGTGCTTTCTGTCTAGGAGGGGCAGGTGTTCTGGGCAGTAGTTGAAGTTGCTAACATCTGGGATGTACCCAGGTATCAGAGCTAGAAAGAGACTGGTAGCTTTCTCTCCTATAGAGAAATGGCACTACTGTGATCTACCTCAGAGTGGTTTCTCCATCTAGATGTAGATATAGCCAGTTCGGTATGTTAAGCTTAGTAAATCTTTATAAATTTAGCACCAGGATGGTTCCCAGGCATCAATGAATCTACCCAGTAACGTTCCTGCCATTTCAGAAAGTGCTGGGCAATACAGGCTTCTCTTATGCTCGGCTCCCACTAAGCAAGAGGCGTAAGTGCAAATGTGTATGGGCTGTGAAGTGTAATGAGCTCCAACTATTTTAAGTGGAGAAGGGTTGTCTTAGGGGTGCCTCATAGGACTTACATGTTAAAATTCCTCATTCTTTTAAATATTTACAAAAAAGGTCTAGCTTGAAGTGAAGGTGATCTTTATTGGCAGCATGCTTGGTCACTCCGATTTCAAATGCTCTCTGACACAGCTTCACAAAAGGGATGGTGGCTAGGCAGGGAGACAGGACTTGCATAGAGATGGAAGAAGTGCCACCAGTTGAAGTGGATTTCCCATTGAATGGGGTGGGACTACCAAACAGGGGCGATGGTGGGTGTCTGCTCTCTCCCTGGCTCTTGCATATTTTGTAAGCATGTGAATCAGGTCCCTTAGCTCCTGGAGCATAACAACAAAGATATCTTTTTTTTTTTTTTTGAGACGGAGTTTCGCTCTTGTTACCCAGGCTGGAGTGCAATGGCACGATCTCGGCTCACCGCAACCTCCGCCTCCTGGGTTCAGGCAATTCTCCTGCCTCAGCCTCCTGAGTAGCTGGGATTACAGGCACGCGCCACCATGCCCAGCTAATATTTTGTATTTTTAGTAGAGCCGGGGTTTCACCATGTTGACCAGGATGGTCTCGATCTCTTGACCTCATGATCCACCCGTCTCGGCCTCCCAAAGTGCTGGGATTACAGGCGTGAGCCACCGCGCCCGGCTAACAAAGATATCTTAATGAAAGCCAGCTAGAGAGTATTATTATGCCAAGGGATTTCAGGTCTAGGCTTTTGAAAAAAATTGCACTATGCTGGGGACCACCATTTTCATGGCACCTGAAAGATGTTCCACTGTTTCCAGGCCTCCGTGGTTTCTGACGATATGTCAGTAGTTTGCCAATTTTTGTTTCCTTGTATGTAAGGTGTGGTTTTCTCTGGCTGCTATTGAGATTTTGTTCTTTGTATTTTCTTACTGCTGCTAATCTTGTCTTTTTTTTTATTTTTGTTTTTCAGGAGTTCGGCTGTGGTATGCCTCAGCATGGTTTTCTTTGATTTTTATTCTGGAAAGTGCTGATATTTGTGTTTTAGCAGGTGGTTAGTTATGTTGACTCAGACTGAAAGCCTGTCTTCTGAGTGGCCACTCGCATGCTCTGTTCTTTTCTATTTAGCTGCTCTGCTTGCAACTTGCACCAAGCATGCGTGGCTTAGGAGTCGGCCAGAGACAGGGCAGTTTCGTTGAAGAACTTGGAGCACCCCTTTCCTGGCTTTCTCCTTTCTGGAATTTTCTCCTTTCTTACTAGGGGCTATGGTTACCTTACACATTTCCTTTACAGGCCGGAAAGACCAGAGGTTTTGTATGGTAGTTTTGGCTGCCTTTCTTGGTACCAAATCTGGTCTACTCTCAGGGTAAAATCAGCAGTAATTCTCCCTGTGTCAGTAATTCCCTCCCTCTGAATTTTAGCACCCCTCCATAGTTGGTTGTCTTTTCTTTACTCTCTAGTGCCTTCTGGAAATTCCTTTTTCGGTATTTTTGTCCAGCGGTTGTAGTCATCTGAGGGAGGACTGGGTCTGGCAGGAGCTTACTCAACCCTTCTGGAGGCAGAAACGCCAAGTCATCCCTTGATAGATAGTCCCATTAAAAACTTTAGTTTGAGTTACTATATACTGACCAGTTTACACATCTTCCTTACTCTGCTTTATATTCTGGAAAATAGGAAGTAGGGTGGCCGTTTTAGAATCAGTCGTTTTGGAGTTGTAACATGTGGGTTGTTAGGAAAGGGACATCTTTCTGTGACTAACAATGTAGCCTAGCTTGCTCAAGGCATTGCTTCTCTTCACACTGTCTACTTACTGATTGCTGAGACAGTCTCTTGGCAGCCCGTCCCTGAGTCTTAGTTTTTCATTCTCTTCTTCATAAAGGGTACGGCTAATTTACGCAGGGTGCCTGGGAAGGGCTCTTAGAAGAGGTGACATTTGAGCAGAAGCCTGAATGAAGCGAGAGAGCAGGCCACGTAAATTCTGGAGGGATGTACGGGGGAATGGCAAGTGCCAGAAGCAATGTCTAGTGCATCTGTGTGGTGCGTTTTCGAAGGAGGTTGGAGAAGGCGGCATGGCCAGCCAGGTGCAGGACGGCACACATGTGGTCAGGAAGTCTGGGTTTTATCCTCTGTGCCTTAGGATGCCCCTGGAGGGTGTTAAGCAGAGGAGGCACGTGATTTGGGGGTGACTGGGGGGGGGAAGAGCAGAAGCAGTAAAAGACTTGCAACAGCCTAGGTGAGGAACGATGGTGGAGAGAGCCAGTTCAGAGATCAGCATAGCACACGTCTTTGCCGACTGCAGGGTCTCTCTGGAAGTGATGAGGTCAGAATGCACCATTTTTTTTCCCAAGCGAAAATGATAGTGCCAGGCTCAGTGGCTCATGCCTGTAATCCCAGCACTTTGGGAGGCTGAGTCGGGCAGATTGCTTGAGCCTAGGAGTTTGAAACCAGCCTGGGCAACATAGAGAAACCCCATCTCTACAAACAAGAGAAAAAAAAGTTAGCCAGGCATCATGATGCATGCCTGTAATCCCAGGTTCTTGGGAGGCTGCGGTGGGGGGATTGTTTGAGCCTGGTAAGTCAAGGCTGCCATGAGCTGTGATTGTGCCACTGCATTCCAGCCTGGGTGATAGAGTGAGATCCTGTCTCTTAAAAAAAAAAAGATATGAGATTTTTCAATGCCCTTTTCCCTCTCTCCCAGCCCTTGATACTCAAATTGAACAGGGAGAATTATTTGGGGGAATGTAAATATCATTCCAGGGGAGTTGTTTTCATA